CATCCTCCAGGAGCCGTCCTTCTACCCGAAGCTCCCAGGAAGCCACCGTCCCTTCCCCATCCTCGGCATCTGACTTAGCCGGATTGAAAGTGTTAGAAATGAAAATTCGCAGCTTCCGTTTTTGCTGAGGAAGGCAGAAACAGGATTGATGGTGGGGCTTCAGTGGTTTGATGTTGAAGACAGGGTCTCCCCAAACCCCAATATTATTCCTAACAGACTGGCTTAGTGTCTATCCAGTACCTAGGGTGGGTGGACAGAGATTCCATCTAGGAGTACAGGCCATTGGTCTGAGTGCAAATGTATATACTGAGATGCCAGGTGGTTAAAGTCATGCAAGGTGCCAGTTCCTAGGGTGTCAGAGTAGTTGTAGCAAAAACATGGACAAGGTATAGTATATTTCTGGTGCAAGAGACATCAAAAATCCCTCCCCTTTTGCTGTTTTGTTTTTATGTTCCTAATGTAAGTCTCAGTTGGTAGGTAGATGGGAAAGATGTAACTTAAATGCCAAGGAGAGCTGTGCTGTGTGTTTGATTTCTCATCCTAAGCCTGTTGCAGGTTCCCGAGTCCTCTCTTTGGTTGTCTGCCTAGTGTACTCCTGTGTTACCTTGATGGGACGTTTCAAGGCCTCCTGTATATCTAGCCGCTTCCTCATGATAGTCTGGTCCAGTTTCCTTTCAAAAGCCAAGAGATCCATATAGGCCTGGGATTCTGGTACCAGTTCACGAATCTTAGAAACAGAAAAATATCATGTGGATAGAGAGCTGACCATCTCTATTCTCAAACTCACCACACCCTCAAGAAGACCTACAGCCTGGACTCACCCTTTGAGGTAGAATTTTGTCAGCCATCTTCTTTTTCTTTGCACTGTTCAAGATAAATACTGTTATCAGGTTGGGATGGAACGAACCAGAACACGAAGACAGAGTGTCCGCACCCCCATTTATAGTAAAGTGAAGGGACTGCAAAGATTTTCTCAAATCAAAGACATTCCCTCACCACCACCCCCGCACCCCCCCACCCCCCCCACAAACACATGAGGCATCCTCCAGAATAAGCACATTCTGCTGACACAGCACCGCCATTTCTTGGTTCAGATACTCCCTCCCCCACCTCCCCCACCTCCCTGTCCCTCCCTGCCCCCCATGGCCATCTTACTTGTGGTTTCGATTCTGGACCGCCTGCTGCTGGACCTGCTGGACCTGCTGAGGAGCGGGTCTCTTGCGGGACTGGTCCATCCCTGACTGAGCCAGGCCAGGTCGGACTGAGGGGTTCCCCCCATAGCCAGGGGGTCCCATGGAAGGTCCCTGAGGTGTCATGCGGCTGCCTGGCAGCATGCCTGGTCTCTACAGAGGGGAGAGGACCCAGAGATGTCATAGCTTCCCCTGCTGAGCCCACCGAGAAGGGAAACGGGGGGGATTCTTGGGCTCTTTGAATGAAGCAAGGCCAGTGGGGGGGAGCGCAGGGGGCGGAGTACAATGGAGAGCCCTCTGCCCCTTTGAAATGCAAATCACAGGAGCTTCCTCTGCTCCAGTCGTGATTCCTAAGAAAATATCGCTCCAAAGTAGGAATCAGGTTACACTCAAATCCCCCCTCGTCTACTTTGTATCGGACACACCGGGCATCTCCAGCTCCGACAGTGCTGTCAGCTCCTCTCCGGGGCTGGTGGTGTGGCCCTAAGGCTAAGCCCTCATGCCTTCCAGGTCTCAGCTGCCCACGTCGGGCCCCTCCACCCGCCCGGAATCCACATCCTGACCCCGCCCCACGGAAAACCATGCCCCCGGGAGCAGGGTGGAGAAGCTAACGGCCTCCCCCGCTCTCACTCGAGGCCCCAGTCCTCCCAGGAGCCCCTCCTCCTCCTCGCCCCGCCGCTGTCACTCCCCGACCCCCGCTCGGCTCCGCCCCGGCCCGCGCGCCCCTCCTCCAGCCCCGCTCACCGGATAGGCCGCCCCGGGCATCGGGGAGCGGTACAGCCCCTGACCCGGCGCCGGGCCCATTCGCACGGGAGGCCCCGGAGTCCCGCCCGGGCCCAGGGCAGCCGCCGCGCCCGCCCCTCCTGAGGCTCCGGCCCCGCCGCTCGGAGCCACAGACTGGAAACCCGCCCGGGCCGCCATCTTCCCCGGAGCCGCTGCTGCAGCTGCACAAAGAACCGGAACCGGAACTCCCCCCGCCCCCTGCGCGCCCCCCGCGCGCTCGCCTGTCCGCCCGGCCGGCCGGCCGGCACGGGAGGCTCAGGGCAGCGAGACTGTGGGCTAGAGGGGGCAACTAGCGGAGAAGGTGTTGGCCACGCCCTCCCGCCTTCGCGGTCCGCGAGGGGGAAACCATAGAGACGGGCTCTGGGATAGAGCGGCCCTGGGCGCGGGCGCCCCCAGGCGACGGGAGGGAGACAGGCCCTGGAAAGGCGGACCCCGGCCCCGGCCCGGCGCTCTGATGAGGACGGTGGTGGTGGGCCGGCTTCACCTTGGCGCAGTGTGTTCAACTTTCCAAAGCGCTTGGGTTGTGCGTCTCCTTCTCTTACTGCTGTAGAAGCCCGAGGGACGGAATGAACGCACTGTTTATCCTGATTTACAGACGGGAAAGCTGGACTGGGGGAAATGAGCAAAGCCAAAGCCCAGAATCCACATCTTCCGGCTCATATATTAATTACCTGCGGCGCATTCCACAGAAAGAGGGCCTCCGTAACGACCTCATTAGAACTTCAACCCAAGGAATTCCCTGACTTTTAACCTAACCTGCTTCCAGATTTTAAGTTTATTTTAAAATTTGACCCTGCCTCCTCTCCAAAGCATCCTTTGTGCAAGGACTTCTCTTTGGGATCTCTGTTGCCTTTGACCCCTCCCTCTTTCCCTGTCCAGAGGTTTGAACCGTTCCTGGTGTGATGGCCGGCCAGGCTCATCCCTGGAGGACCAGGGTCTCCCTGCTCAAGCCTCCTTGTTCCTCCCCTGGTTGTTTGGCCCCAAGCCAAGCTTAGCTCTGGGCCCTTAATGGGAAGGCCTAAATGCTATTCAGATAAGAGAAGACGACACTGAAGAGGAGTGGTTGAAACCCAGTTTATTAGACCAGAGGCATGCGTCACCCTTAGCCCTGCCTGCTGTTCTCCATCCCATGCACACGCCCTGGCCTTGCTCCTGCTTCCCTCTGGAGAGGTCTGCTCTCTAAGGAATTACTAGGAACTAAAGTTCCCAAAGATCCTATAGCCTCACCCTCCAGCTCCAGGTCAGTGCACAGGTGACCTGCCACAGGTCCTGTTCTGGGGTTGGAGACCAAGAGATAGCTGGGCAGAGAAGGCCTGGGAAGGGGCAGGGCTCTGGCCTGGGAGGACCGCCTAGTGGGAGGGGCACAGCAGGCTCCCTCTCTCTCTGTTTCTCTTTAAGGTAGGAATAGCGCCCAACGTCCCCTCTTTCCTCCCACTACCAAACCATACCTCACCAGAAGATATAAGTGATGGGTTTAGGTATCAGATGAGGAAAGGGGACTGGGCCCTAGAAGGAGGGAAAGGCCTCTGAGGGAAGACCTCAGCTCTGCCTGTCAGCACCCCACTGCTCCATCAAAGGAGTCACTGACCCATAGCCCCCTCTGTCTTTGAAGCCCTGGGCTTGGTGTGCAGAGCAGATCTCCATCCCTTGGGTGGGGGCTGTCTCTCTATCCGTTCCTTCCCTTGGGAGGCCACGGGCAGCCTTACAGAGGACGCTGGGGTGGGAGGAGCAGGAGAGGGAACGTTAAGGCTACAGGGAGGACAGAGAATGCCCGGGTTAGGGGGAGAGGGGGAGGCCAGAAAGAGGCAGAGCTTGTGATTCACAGCTTCCTTTATGTCGCCACCGAGACAGTGCGAAGGTTACAATGCGCGTGTCGTCTCCTTGTGCTTCTCAGAGGGATGTGTGTACACAGTACAGACACCAGGGGAGAGAGTCCAACTCTTTATACGGGTGAAGGCATTCAGAGACCAGGGCGGGAGCAGAAACATGGGAAGGGGTACTTGGGGTGGGAGGATGGTTCTTAGAGACAAGAGGGGAGGGGGCAGAGTCAGACAGAGTTAGGGGAAAGTACATACAGAGATATAGCAATATAGAGTCTGTATCATATAGAAATAGAAAATGCAGATGAGTTGTTGAGAGAAGCAAATGAAGTTGGGAAGAGGACGTGGGAGAATTCCATAAGAAAATTTATGGATGTGGCCCTCCGCAGGGGCCCTGGGAGCGGGACCAGTGCCCCCTCCCTGAGCTGGAAGCCAACCAGCTGGATCTTTTATGGGACAGTAGAGGAGGCTGCCTCTTGGGATTTCTCTCCAGCAGCTCTGGGGTGGGGGTGACCTTGTAGGTACCAGGATGTGGCCTACAGCACCAGGGCCACATCTTGTCCCCATCTCCACTTCTTCAGGGGATCCCTACCCCTACCTCCCTAGTGATGTCACATGGTGTATGTGTGGGGTGGGGGGCGGGGCTTAGTTCCTGCCTGGAGACTTGCGATTGGGAGGTGGTCATGGGCTGAGAGGGTCTCTTAAGGCTGGGGAAGCACCCCCACCACCACTGTCCCTCCCCTTCCAGGTACATTCTCTGGTTTAGGGCCAAATTCCAGATCTGAATGATCCCCTCCACCCCGCCCCCCCCCCCTACTAGGAGGGGGCTTTGGTGACTGGTGGCAGCAGAATGTAGGTGGACACTCAGATGACAGATAGCCAGACAGACAGAATTCAGGCTGGGAGCTGGGGGAGGCAGCATGGAGCAGAGAGGGGCAGCCTGAGGTCACTTGCCCAGTTCTCTCTTTTTAGTTTCTTTTTGAGATTAGTTTTGTTAAAAATAAAAAGAATAGGATAGAGACAGGGAGAGTACTCTATGGTCAGGACTCCTTCCTCACCACAGACAAGAGGAAAGGACTGCCCAGGAGTGGGGGGCTGCCTTGGGAGGGGGAGGGTGTCCCCAGGGCAGATGTGGGGGGGCACTTGGGGGCCCCCTTGCTCTTCTAGCCCTCCTCATCTAGGCCTTTGGTACAGTGGCCTGCAGGGCTCAGCAGGTAAAGTCCTCAAACGTGCCTCGGGCCGGATGGTGAGGTAGGATGTTGGCAGCATACGTCATCCCAGCAGGATGGCCCCGCAGGCTCTCACACGGGTTCTGGGGGAACGGCACAGGACAGGGACTGGTTATCGACAGATGGCACTAGGGCATGGGGGAGGCAAAGGAGAAAAGGTAGCAAAGGGTGGTCCAGGGGTGAGGGGGAAGGGGCGGGGTGGGAGGGGCACCCATCTCTGGCTCCCTCACGTGTCTTTTGACGTCATCCAGGCTGAGGGGCCACGCCCTTGTCTGCGCTGCTCCTTTTGGCCTCCTTTCTGGCACTTGCCTCGTCTGCACAACTTGTGCTTAATGACCTGGGACATGTGGGGTGGGGAATGGGGTGTGTGGTGGCCTTGGAAACACCGCTCTCTTCATGGGGCCCTGCCCGGG